TTTTTTGAGATGAGGGTTCTCTGTGTTGGTCAGAATGGTCTTGAACTCCCAACCTCAGGTGATCCACCTGCCTTGGCCTCCCTAAGTGCTGGGATTACAGGCGTGAGCCACCGGCACCTGGCCAGAATTATTTTTTTAAACAAATACAGCTGACTTCAAATTGGATCAACTTATGAATTTAAACTCAAAGAAACTGGCTCTGACCATTTCAACTAGTTTAAGTATCTCAAATCGGTTTAAACTGTATCCAACTGCTTTCCTTTGAAATGACCCTCCCGCTTTAAACAGATTTTTGACCGGCATAGAAAGTAGCTAAGAGTCTGGCCTCCGGAATCAGATTCAAATTACACCTGCATCGTCTCACCTACTTGTCCTTGGGCAAGTTAATTTGCCCTTCCAAAATCTGTTTCTTCATCTTTAAAATGAGGATAATAGTACTTCTATCATAGGCTTGTAAAAATTAAACCTCATGATATGTGTTCTGCCTATTTCAAACTGGAGAGACCAGGAATAAAGATGACTTGATTGACGGTTGATAATGAGCTCTTTTTTTCTAGCCCCAATTTCTTCCCTATTAAAGAGTCATCACCCTGCCCACACCTCCTTCAAGAATTCTTGACATCTTCCTCCACCTCCACCATCTGGCTCTGAACTGCTTAAGTGAGGGTCAAACAATTGAAGCCAATTATCCTGAATGCAAATGCTCAGTGATAGTTCTATGCTACCTGGGTGGAAGCTCCTTGAGTTCTCTTTTTTCAGTGTCTTTTCCCCTTCTTCCCTCCTAGCCTAGCTCCAAGACCATGTGCTCAGTAAATAACTCTGTGTGTGTGTGTGTGTGTGTGTGTGTGTGTGTGTGTGGTTTTTTAAGACAGGGTCTTACTCTGTCGCCCAGGCTGGAGTGTAGTGGCATGATTACAGCTCACTGCAGCCTTAACCTCCTGGGCTCAAGTGATCTTCCCTCCTCAGTCTCCAAAGTAGCTGGGACTATAGGTGTATTCCACCATGCTTGGCTAATTCTTGTGTTTTTTGTAGAGATGGGATCATGCTATGTTGCCCAGGCTGGTCTAGAACTCCTGGGCTCAAGCAATCCACCTGCCTCAGCCCCCCAAAGTGCTGGGGTTACAGGTGTGAGCCACTGGGCCGAGCCTGCAACAACCCCTTAGGTTAAGGAAACTTCCTGTGGTCCCATGGCAAGTTAAGTGGTAGAGCAGGAACTTAGATCCCGTCTCCTGACTCCAAATCCTACAGGCTTCCTGCTTTACAGCCCTGTCTCTCCCTTGGTTCTTCTCATCCAGGCACTTGACAGCCTCTCTCTCTTGCTCCACACAGAGGCCCTCGTGAGACATGGGGCTTCTCCCCTGCTCCTGTCCAAGTCTGTCTTTATCCCAATACCAAGCTTTGGTGTCCAAGGGGAAGCGATGCTTGCAGCGCACTTAAAGAAAAAAGTGGTGATAGCTTCCAGATGAGCTTATTATTCTAAATTTAACATTCCTTTTGGTACTTAGAATTTCCACTTTCTCTCTTCCACCCCGTTTGCATTTGGGGAATTAGAAAGCATGCAACAGGAAACCATTTGTGTCTCAGCACCATTCAGGATGAAGGCTGTCCAAGTGCCATGGAGTCATATTCCTGTGGAAATACTTTGCAGAGTTTATTTGGACAGGTTCAAAAATAGTCCTTCAACAATACAATCAGATCGAACCACGACAAGTAAAATGCAATTATGGCTTGGTTACATTTTTCAAAAATGTAAACAGTGAGGTTTGGGAAAACTAAAAGCAAAGCGACATAGTCATCTCCTCCATTCCCAACCCCTGCATTTTCTACAAGCAGGACTTCAAGTCTGAATCTGGGATCTTTTGAAATGGATGAGAGGATGATACTCACTAAAGGAGACAGCTCAACAGAGTGTGTTCTGAGGCCATTTCTCAGAACAAAGGCATACTTCTGCATAAGGCAAATGCAGCCTGATAAAGGCTTCCCCAGTGGGTACTTGGAATGCCAAAGTCATTCACCTAAATGAGCTCAAAATACATATTGTCCTGGGCCAAATTATACAGTGTCAAGCTCAGACTGTATGTATTTATGTATGTTGGCAGAGCAGGCCACTTTTGGGGCGCCACAGTTTCATCCTAGCATCCTGTGCCCTGCTGGGTTCCCATCACTCTCTCCCCAATTCCATGAATTTCCTTGGATTTGGTTCCAGAAAGGCAGACAAGAAGCAAAGTCAGTTGCACAGGCCCACAAGGGAACAGGGCCCCAGAAGACTTGAATTACTAATGAAACTTCAGAGTAACACAGAATGTTTGCCTTTGCCAATAAGCTGGGACTTTCTGAAGGTTGATCTGAAATGGGGGCAGGGAGTGGGGACAAGATCAAGTGTGCTTCTGGCCAGCTTCCGCTAAGGGCTACAAGGCGGGAATACAAAGCACTCTAGAACTAAAGCAAGTGGCCAGTGCTTTCTTTGACTGGCCTCTGTCGAGAACTATTCCATCAGAGAGCTGACCCATTTCCCAGGGCACTTCAGTGGTGCTTCCAAGGTGCCAAAGAGATCATCCAAATAAATGTCTAAAACCTAACAGCTAATGAGATAGAGAAGTTTGAGTCCAATGTCCCTCTCCACTCCATATTTTGCTAACATGTCTAGGGAATTTGTGGCCACCTTGTTTATGGAAAAATGACAGAAAAACTGAGGAAGGAAAATACTTTTGAGACAGAGTCTGTCTGTCACCAGGCTGGAGTGCAGTGGCATGATCTCGGCTCACTGCAACCTCCACCTCCCGGGTTCAAGCGATTCTCCTGCCTCAGCCTCTTGAGTAGCTGGGACTCCAGGTATGTGCCATCATGCCCAGTTAATTTTTGTATTTTTATTAGAGACGGGGTTTCACCATGTTGGCCAGGATGGTCTTGATCTCTTGACCTTGTGATCCATCTGCCTCAGCCTTCCAAAGTGCTGGGATCACAGGTGTGAACCACTCTGCCCAGCCAGGAAAATACTTTTAAAGCAAATAGGGAGAAAACAAGTGGAGGGGATGAAACAGGTTGCACATTATTTTTCTTTTAATTACACGGGTTGCCTTAATCATGGAATGAAGAGGACCAAGTGAAAAACAGCCATGTGGCTATGGCAAGCCAAGTGGCTATAGCCATGACTTCCAGTCCAGGGCTAAGCCCATCTTTGGACTTCAGATGATCCAAAGACGAAAACAAGCCCAGACAGGAGAAGCCTGGACAGTTTGTAGGGCAGAGCCTAGCAGACCTTTCTGGAAAAGGGAGTGGGAAGGATGAGGGAGGGTATTTGCTACCCCGAATATACTTCCTATAGCACTTTTAATCCTAGCTACTTAGGAGGCTGAGGCAGGAGAACTGCTTGGGGTGGAGGTTGTGGTGAGCCTAGATCACGCCATTGCACTCCAGACTAGGCAACAGGGGTGAAACTCTGTCTCAAAAAAAAAAAAAAATAACTAAGGTCTAATCTTCAGTTTATATTAGTAATATACCATGTGACCTTATATATTAATCTACTCTGATTCTGCTAATTATTGCCAACAAAATTATATTCATGACATTTTATCAATCCTCTGTGAATTTTCTGTAAATAAAATTATTTCTAAAAAATCTCTTAAAAAAAAAAAAAAAGAACTAAGGTCTAATCAATGTTCCTGAACTGGAGGCAGACATGAGTTGTACCCTATTGCCCAGCCTCCCCCTTCACGCCTCTCCCCTGCCTCCGCACACCCTGGCTATGCTGAACTGCTTGCGGTTTCCCAGCTATAATATGCATTACATAATCCTGAGCCAACACAGACGCTACCCTCCTTCTGTCTGGGATTCCCCAGTCAACTTCAAGTCTCAGTGCAGGTATTCCATTGCCTGTGGGGCCATCCTGAAAAGACATAGCTGCTGCTTCTCCTTTGTTCTCAGTGCACCTTGCCCACAACTCTCCTCTCCGTTAAAAACACAACTTCAGAGTTGCGTTTGTATGTCTGTCTTTCTGTCAGACTCTAAGCCCCTCGAAGGCAGAAGGCTGTCTTTTTATCCATTTAATCTCTGCTGCTTACAGCAGTGCCTATTGTATAGTAGACGCTCAATCAACATCTACAGGATACAGGGGCAAGTGGGATGGGGGTCTGCCTATCTTAATTCTATGATAAGGAAAAAGAAATCAGAAAGGCTGAGCTCTGGGGTTCTGTACATTGTCTGAAGAAATTGCTAAAATGACTTTTGCATCTAGCATTCCTGGTTCAAGTGAAACCACAGGAACAAACTCAGAGGGACATTAGAAGTGGCCCTTTTGTCCTCAAACCTCAGCTGCTACATCAAGATAAAATCAGCCCCAAACGGGCCCTTCCAGCCAGGTGGGTGAGCCATGAGCTTTCCTCCAGAGCTGAAGCTTGAACTGTATAAAGCTCTACGAAGCTGCAGGACTTGACATCAATGGAGTGGGCCATCCACACAGCCAGGTTTCCTCCCCTGCTAATACAGCGGCAGTGTGACCTCCTCGCAGTAGGCCTAGCTGAGATGTGCCCTGCCAGGTCCCAGGTGAGAACACACGAAGAGCTGCCACAGAAGGAAAGGCGCCTTAAGACATCAGTCATCTCCATCAGGCCATGCAGCAGCAATCTTCAACTTCTGATGTACGAAGCGGAAGGAGTTCTGAAAGCTATGCATGAGGGGGCAAGTGGGAAGGAATACCCAATGATTGCTTTCAGGGGGTTCTCAGAGAGGCTGTGAGCAAGCGGCTACAGCTGCTGGCAGTTCACGCACAGTCCTCCTCATGCTCACAGACCAAAGGCAGAGAAACAAAGGCCAGGCAATGGGCTTCCTATTTTTGTTTAATTTATTTAAGACCACCTCCTTACAATTTCCAGAGAGAAAATACAAAACAAGAAACAGACTTGGTTTCAAATACATAACCAGGTGCTGGAGTTTAAAGCATCACTGATAACATTGTTACAGAAGAATGGCAGCTTACTCCAGGGCACTTCAGTATTCCTGAGGAATAAACATGATTTCTCTTGTCCTCCCACTGGGATGTTCTCAGGTGAAGTCACTGCTCCTGCTCCTGTAAAGCAAGGACACTCAGCTTAAAACTCTGCAGACAGCGAGTCAGACGGGATTCTGACAACCCTCTCTGCTGTGTCAGGTCAGACCCAAAGGGCCAGAGGCCAAAACCTGATCACACTGTTACGTTAAAACTGTATCACATCAGGACTATGTACACCCCACCCAGGTTCCTAAGAGTGCCCCCCAGTCCCAATCTTACAGGGAGAAGAACAGGAAACGAGTGGAACAGGCCAAACCACCATGAGCTGGATAACAATTCCTAAAACCTGTCTAAGGCATCTCAGGGGAGTGGGGAGAGCATGGTTCTAATCAGCCTACGAACTACATGGCCTTGCCGAGTTTCTCAACCCTGCTTAAGAGTCTGCTTTCTCGGCTGGGCACGGTTGGCTCACGCCTGTAATCCCAGCACTTTGGGAGGTCGAGATGGGCAGATCACCTGAGGTCAGGAGTTCGAAACCAGACTGGCCAACATGGAGAAACCCCATCTCTTTAAAAAAAAAATAAAAAGAGTCTGCTTTCTTATCAGCTGAATGAGGACAGTGACACCTCTCACAAATCCACTGAGGGGTCCAGAGGGAAAGATTATTAAAGATAAAGCAAGCAGGATGGTTTTGGGGGCAGATCAGGGACTCAAGAAGCAGTTATTATAATAGGACTGCACTGAATAAGCCCAAGTTGGGATTTTGCTCCATTTTTCAGGGAGTGGAGAATGACAACATCAAGGCACAGACTCAAGTTCGGATACAGTTACAAGGCCATTTGGAGCAGGACACACTAATGTAAAAAATGGAACAATATTTTCCACAGTAACTCCCAGCCATTAAATACATAATATGCATATAATCACCCCTGAGCCATTACCCCTAACAACACAGTTTGGAACAATGGAAATGTTTTAAGCAAAAGACCTGAAGCTTCTCTCTCTGCTCCTTTTGGTTCTCTCCACAATCAGCTCTGGTGTCAGGAAAGTGAGGAGCCAGGGAGTGGTGGAAAAGGCTGACTGCGGGCTTCGATGCCACGCAGCTGCACCTCTCCTTGCACTGTCCCTGTGATGACCTCACTCTTGCTTTGGTGCAGAGATGGCTCCCCTGCTCCCATCTGTCCAACACACATGGGCTGGCTGCAGGCAGCTGACGGTGTGAGCAAGGCTGTGGCAGGATACTGCTATTTGAGATTTGGTGGGCCTTGTGGCCACAACTCCTGACTGGAATTGGGACATGCATTTGTACCACATTTTCCACTCTACTTGTTATGACAGTGGAACAACAGACAAGTCAATCACCCTTTTTGGGCTGGCCTTATCTATAACAACCAATGTTTCTGTGTATTTAGCACCTCACAGCTTAAAAATATTTTCGTGTCTAATTCTCACGACAACGTCGTAGGTAGAAATTATTACCCTCATTTTACAGAGAAAAATGGAAGCTCAGAAGTGAAACTACTTAAGATCACACAGAAGCAAGTGACTGGCTTGCACCCAGGTCTCCTGGCTTCTGTGCCCTTTCCACTAGTCCTGCTGCTGCCCTATTCACAAGTCACTTGAGAAGCTGAGGGTTCTGTGCATGCAGGGAATGTGAAGCTGTTCACCGAAAAGGGTGCTGCTGCTGCAAAGGCTATGCCTTAGGAAGGCTGAGGCCATCAGCACTCACCTCTAATAGAATAATTTACTTCATTCACTCATTTTACATTTATTTGAATGCTTATTTTGTTTCAGGCCCTGGGAATACAAAATAAGTGCCAACTCTGTCCTTGAGCATCCAGCTTCCCATGGTCCTGTCACTTAAATCCCATAGTAACTAATCATCAAGCAAGACAAAGGGAAAGACGGCAACATACGAAGCCCTGAGGAAGCCTGCTGCCCTGTTCCCTTTGGAGGTGTGGGTAAGAAAATTTCAGCTTGCATGTAGCATTAAAAATCCACCTGAAGAGCCGGGCGCGGTGGCTCAAGCCTGTAATCCCAGCACTTTGGGAGGCCGAGGCGGGTGGATCACGAGGTCAAGAGATCGAGAC